AAAATAGAATATCTAAACTGACGTCATGAATCGATTGTAAAGTTTGCCCCATAGATGATACTTCCAGAATTTGATTTCGGAGATGTTTAACTGAACGGTAATATCGATGACGATTTGACTGAGTCTTAGCACGTTGTGCGGTCAAAATATTACATTTTCAATGCATGTTCTATACATGTTACAACCACAATCCCCTCATTTAATTGTAACGTCAATTAAGTCACTGTATAATAATACATTTTCAACATATCTGTCACTGTAAGGGTTTCAGTTCTTAATGTATTTGCCCTTGATACTGAATGCGTGAACTTATAACCAGACACTATAATCTATATATCGGTAGATATGGCTGCCAGGGATAAAATTTTGACGATAAATTGTCAAGTCTGCCGATTGGTACATTAGCCAGCAGGTCAACTATAGGTACTTACCTTTCTGTCATAAAATTCAACTGTATTGTTTTGATAGAAACTTGAAAATCCTATGGAAAATTTTATAGTTAGAAGGCTATGTTGACCTTCGGCCTTTGTACATAGATTATTAAGACTGGCCTCTAGAGAATGATGCAGTGTCCAATGATAGACGAAATCTTTGCGTCGAATCTGAGATGACGATGATAGAGGAAGGTAGGAAATGAATGTATAATTGTACGGAAACCCAATTATAAGGTTAAGAGACTTAAATAGCCTGTCAATCTCCAAAATGTATTCAGTGAAGATTTTTTAATCAGACACGCTGTTGAAGAGTTAGCAATACATCAGACCACGAGAGATGCGTCCGAGGGTGACAAAGAAAGTAAATACCTTCTTCTTCTAACCATTTCCATTTAATGTTAAAGGAACGGTGTAAAAAAGGATTTTAATAAAAGTATACCAAAATGTGTACGTGTTTTATTCGTTGTAATACTTAAACAGACTGATCCTATTCCTGATTTCCAACAACACTTTGAAACCTCAGATCGATAGTGATGAAAATAATGTTTGACTGGATCAAAAATTTTGGACAGCACGAATTCAGTGAAATCGGACCCAGATGGTACCCAAAATTCTAAAGCTGATCAGTACTACAGAACAGTAGTACTTGGTCTAAATTTTAATCGAGCTTGAACTACTGAAGTAGATCACCAGTGCTACAAGAAAAATACATAAAGTGATTAGCAATTGTCTGAGTATAAATTCATAAATATGCACATATTTTCCTATGTTTCCCATTTCATAAAATAACACCTCAAATGAAACAGAAGTAGGGTAAGGATATAAGTACTATACAATTAAAACAACATTCGTCACTTATTTAATAAATAGATTTTACAACATTATTAAAATCATTGTAATTCATAGATTTCCAGCCATTATGAACCTACTTACATTCAATATAAAGCCTAAGGTAGATAAAATATTAAGCTTTGAAAGTAGTCTAAATAAAAAAACAAATGGGTGTACCTCAAGGCAACATCTTTGGTCCAACTAAAGCTTTTGACTACTTTATACTTTTAATACGTTATCCACCAATATTATTAGCTACAAGATAGTTAGTTACATATTATATATTAAAACTTGATTCTTTAAATAAATAATTCTATGCATATTTTTATATTTAATTCGTTTTGACCCGAGTACCGATTGATTCTAGACGAGACTACATTTTTCCTTCGCGTTGACATGCACGGATCTTTTCTCCTTCCGCCTGTTGAGAAAATATGTTTAATAAATATCAATAGTTTTAAGTACTCAAGTAATTTCACTTGGCCAAGGGGCGAATAAATACTATGTATCCAGGTTTATCGTAGTGGGAATAACTGACACTATAATAATTCGACTTAGGATCTAGCTGCAGCGCAACGTGTAGATTCCCGAACAAACTATTTATCATTAAAAAAACGTAATCCCACGTTAGTATTATCTCCTGTAACGTGGTTACGTTTACAAACATACAATTTCACATACACGTAATGTGTGTGTACCCGGGCACTGAACAGTAATTTGTGGATCACACCAAGAGTTTTTCTCTGCGGGTATCGAGCCCGCCACTCATGCGTGGCAGCCGGTTCAACCGTGTCAACCGTGCAGTAAACTCAAACCCTTTGTGTGAATTTATTGAAAATGAAGACATACTTCCGGAAATTAATTAAACTGAGACTGAACTAGTTTTAAGTCACAAAGAGATTTGTGATAAAAATATATTTTTAGACAAGTAGGTAGAGTTCCATACTTCTAAAGTTTAAGGAGAAACGCTGGGGCGTATTATCGCAATAGCAACTAAATACTTTTTGGACGCAATTATAACGGCCAATAATATTATCAAATTTGTGACCAGTATTAACTAAATTATATTTGAAATATGTTTTGAACTATATGTTCATAGAGCTCCGACACACCACAACACAATTTAATTAAATAGTATGAGTTACATCGTCAAACAAGAATCTCTTTGATCGAGCCTTAATTGGGGTAAGTCCGACCCCTGGTTATCATACTTAATAAAGGTTTTACAAATTAAATCGAAAATAACTTCGAAACTTGATAGTCTTAATACACAAAGGATCATTGTCAATAAGTTAATGTACTGCACTTACCACAATGAGCTTATAAATTTGAAAAATCGCTTCTTCCGGGTTACAATCATCGCTGCCTTGTTCTGAAGAGATGGACCTTTTGCCGTTACCCCAACCAGAACTGAACGTCAGTTGGGATTCTACAAACACAGCAATGGCGGCTATGAAGAGAAACAAGATAATAATGCGGCACATTTTGATTGTACTTCCCAAAGCTCTGTCCTACAAGGAATGGTCATAAAACGAGATGGTCAGACATTTTATATCCCCTGTATTAATTATGGCGAGCCTTAAAGGTTTTCTATGCAAATCAAGTGAAACCTCAGCAATGTTAATGAAATGCCCGCCCGCCGTATATCACATTCTATGAAAGCCAATAACATTTTCGAGTTGTTTTTTTAGATGTTTGGTCATTTTCAGGGGTGACCTTTTCAGCGGAAGATAATTCATCATTCGTTCGGCACGTAGGCGTAGGAGGACGGGAAGGTCACACCATTGAAGATTGAAGGGACTTGTTAATGCGCTAAAGAACTGTATAATTATTTTGGGAATACTCGTATGTTTGTTTTTTTTACCACAGATCAAAGGTTCTCTTATAGAGTTTTTACTCAAAGACAATCGTATTGAAGGATTGGCAGTAACCGCTGATTTCCGATAAGTCTCTATAACATGTATGTTGGGAAATTAAAAATAGAATTTGACACAAACTTTACATTTACATTATAGTAGCTAGTAGCTACTACCTACATGATGGAATATATTACCCAGTGCCGGCGTACGGGCCACTGACACCCCGGGCGAAAATATTATGGTATATCATAGTAAGTACTTATTATACCTATCGTATTAGTTTTTTGCTGGTCGTATTGATATCGTTAGTCACTATTTGACATGAAATCCCTCTTAAAATAATCTCAATAAAAAATATGCATATCTACAAAGCATAGAGCACAGTTCTGAGGGTTTGCCAGGAGAGGCAAGAGACTCCAACTTCAGACCTTGGCGCCCCCCCAGAATTTGTCGCCCTGGGACATCGCCCCATTACGCCGGCACTGGGCGTACCGCGTAGAATTGAAGCGCGTAGCTCGTGCCGCGTAGCACGTTGCACAGGTCGTATAACATGGAGCACGTAACGCGCAACCTGTAACACGTAGCTCTTATTCGTTCTTAACAAGTAACGAAGCAAGAATAGCTTATAGTACCCGTGACTCCGTTCTCGTGAGATAATGACCATCTGCAGATTTTTGGCATTAAAACTATACTATGTTCTTTCTCGACTTCCAAACTATGTCTGTACCAAATTTCATAGAAATCGCTTCAGTTGTTTAGGCGTGAAGAAAAGACAGACAGACAGAGTTACTTTCGCATTTATAATAATTATTAGTTTGGATTTGGATAAGTTTTTACCAGTGATTGATGACCAATGCAATTGCTAATGCAAAATGTACCGTAAAAATATAGCATAAAAAGACATTATATCTATACATTACTTGTTTATATTAGCGTTATTATATTCATTTAATTTGAACAAAAAGGAAATCGTTATAAAAATAGAAAGTACTCACTAAGAGGGAAAATTTTCTGTAGGTGTCCTATTTCATTTAGATTAAAATTAATAATAAAACGAACGACCTCTGTCAATTGGCTTCGGACCTGTCGTGCCTTCGCCATCCTAAGGTAAACATACTGTGAAGGTTTTTGTTACCCCGAATTTCATATAAAACCACATGATATATATGTATTTATGCTTTTATTGCTATGTAAGGTAATATTTTACAGGAATATGTGTATTTTGGGAGTTTGTCAAGATGAATAACAATAGACTGATGGTGACTTACAATTTATTACATTACATGAAGCTTAAAACGAAACAAGCCGATGTAAAATTGGAAAGTAGTACTTCTACGTATTCGTCCCGGACTTTTTTGAGGGGAAAAAATCTTTCTTCCGCCCTAGGTGGGGCAAGGTCAAAGTCAAAGTCAAAATCATTTATTCCAATTGGGTAGTTTCCTAGGTCAAAAATAAATTAGGTACTTCGACGTTTCATTACAATAAAATATTGAAAATAACTATACTTTTTTTCATCGATTGATCGATACAATAAATTTAAGATATTTAATAACTATTAAGAAATAAGTAAGCTAATTGACGCTAAAACACTATGACGTTATAACTCAGCGTTTCATACATAGAAAAGTATCGTTTTTGATACTACCGTATTGCGCTTGCTTGACGATTCCTTCGGGACCTAACCTTCACGTTAACACGTTAATTGAAAACAATCAGACACATTCTGACGTCAGCGACACCCAATCAAATCGAAATTAAAAACTGCTAAGGCTTCGACACTAGTTACTATAAAAAGCTTAAGCAGTTTCTTAACAACATCTCATTCTTCACAAGCATTCATCCAATTCACTTGTATATTTTTTCTTTTAACTCCATCATGAACAAGATCAGCCTATTAATCCTATTCCTGGCTTGCCTTTGCTTGGTCACGGAGGCCCAGTTGACGTTCACGTCAAGTTGGGGCGGGAAACGAGGAGCGGTGACGGCTACAATGTCATGCAGAAGCGACGAGACAATCGCTGCTATTTATAAATTAATCCAGGTATGTTCGTTTGTGTGATTTGTTTTAGCTTTTATGGGAAAAGCAGACGGATTATGATCTGATGGATGGTAGTGAGCAATCGGCGCCTCAGGTCATCACCACCGTACCGGTACTACGGCCTCGTCTTGAAGCAGGAGATAGGGCAGGGCAATTTTTAGTCAGTAAGAGAGTCGGCGTGAAACAAGCACAGCGTTGTGTTTCGCCATGTGAATGATGTTATCGGAGGCCCAATCCCTCTCCTATCCGTTCCCAATCCTTATATCCGCAACCCTTATCCCCAAAAGGCCGGCAACGCACTCGTAACTCCTTTGGTGTTGCGGCTGTCCATGGACGACGCCGAATGCTTACCGTGAGGTAATACGTTTGCTCGTTTGCCGACTTATACCATAAAAAACTGCTCTCGCCAAGGATGAGAAGAGAGGGAGTTTCAGACTCTTACTGACTAAAAACACCCTCGTTTCTTCCCTCTTATTAACTAAAGATTCGAAATTACAACAATACCTACACAAACGATTACACAATGTGTTTATAGGTTCTAAAAACCAAGTGTATGTACGGCCAAAATTTTTCCATGCCTAATTAGATTTTGTTTTTATTTCAGAATGAGGCCGAGAGACTTCTCCTTTGCCAGAAACCCTAAAGGGAAAACTTCAATTCGAAGTTTCCTAACGAACGTCACCGCTATGATTAAATGGAGGGTTTGTTTTGTAATAATTGTTGTTACTACAAGGTTCTAACGCACATGGATCCAAGTTGTGTTAAATATCTATGTTTCGCTTTCAATAAACTACACTTCGTTACTTATTTCTTTGTTGTTTAATTCATATCGATAAGTATAAAGAATTTGCTACAGCAATACTTGCTATTAGTATTTAGGTTTTTGGGTAGGACTAATAAATATAACCTCAGCCTTTACCCTTACATCCGGCGGACCACCCAGAGGACACCGTGAAGTATATGTGCTGAGGACATGGCCGCATGTCATGGTGTTTTTAGAGTAACAGCACTTTAGAGAGAAGAAAAAATTATAGATACATTTGCTGGCCCGACTCACTGACTAAAAACGGGGTGATTTTTAGTCGGTAAGGGTCTGACACTCTTAGCACTCCTATGTTAATTTAAAGATAATCTACATAAGAGATTCAGGCCCAAAAAAATCTGAAACATATTTACACACACACATATACACCCACACCTAGCTACTTATGCTGTTATAACAAAATCCCAGGCGAAATACAAAAATTAAATGAAAGAAATTTTAAATTATGTGTAAAGAAAACTTTATGTAGAAAAGCATACTACACACTGAATGTTTATATTGTAGATAAAGATGCTTGGAAACATGCTGGTCCTGCTCCACAGGATAGCAAACCTACACCAAAATAAATAACTTTCCAGTGGATTTTGCTTGAACGGGACTTCTCCATATTAGTGAAATTGCATTATACTGTATTAATATAACTTGATAAATTTGTAAATGTGAGTGCCCTGTAACCTATTACAATTGTTGAGACTAGCAGAATGTCGGTCCTTGTAACAGCTTGGAGTTGTCATGCTCACTGAAAGGTGACAAACTGGCGGTGGCATGGGCGCTGGATCGCTTAATTCCCTATAATATGGTTGAGTTGGGCGATGCTGGTGTACGTGTCATGTTCGTAAACGGGCGCCGTCAGTTGGGACTGGTCAGCTCCAGACTGTCTATTGTCCTTAAGGTTACTTTATTTTTATATTTGAATAAATATTAGTGTTACACTGTTCTCACTTAAGTGAACCAACTGTTTGTAAAAGGAATCTGTATGTGAAACTGATTTAAAAAGAGTAACCATGGAGTTTCTTGCTCGTTCTTCTCCATCGGAATCTACACTTTGGAACGAGCAAATAGCTTCACTAAGAGGACTGACCGACAGACTGACACTATATCTTCAAAATTTTTGTTTGACGTTCAAAAGTGCCTGTAAATGTCTAATTGGAATACCTAAATGATTTTTGACTTTTGACTTTTGACTTACGATGGAACTTTGTGATGGAACATGCTTATAATTTTCGAGGATTTGATAGCTTAGGATACACAGAGACATTCCTAGAAAAGTCTACAAAGCCTAGGAAAAAGGAAAATGTAATTTTCAATCTCATTGTAAACCTATTTAAAGTTAGAAATGACCTTGGCAGAAGTGGGCTTACTTACTTAGTTACTTGGCCTTTTTCCGTTGATAACCCTTTTTTGTCAAGGTAAAATCATTAAATGACTTTTCCCAGGGTAAGGCGAGAGAGAGTGTCAGGCTCTTACTGACTAAAAACCCCGTTCCTTCACCTGCTATGGGCCGAGGCAGCGGTGACTCATTGCGCTTAACCCGCAACCCCGGCTGAACATCAGCCCTATAGGGCCCCGTCTGTGGTGGTCTATTGGCTCTTTGAAGCGCGCGCCGTACGCTCGGGTCTGGTTCTGGTCGGGCGGCGAGCTACCCTTACTTGCCGTCCGCAAACCCGTCCGTTGATAACCCTACGGCGATCAAAAGCCATGTACAATACATGGCTCTGGTCCTTATAAAGATAGCGGCAGCTTATTTTGTATGGGATCCCCACCAGGGTGCATGCATTATTGCATCATTGCTGGAGGAAATGCAAATCGCAGTTTTAAGATTGCTCTGCAAATAACTGTTTGGCTGCCCTTACTTTATCCCACCAAATTTTTGCTTGGAATGTTATATTTTAATTGTTGGGCGGCCAGGTGTTATTACTCTCTCAATATTTCAACCTGCGGTTCATTGCGAGGGTATTCTGACTGTCCTGAACTGGTGACAGGTAGTACGATTGTTCTCACTGCCGAAGCACCAGCTAAGGTTGCGTAGGCCCCCCCTTATTGTCTGTGCCGGCAGCGAGTACATTCGCGCATGCAAATTGCTAACTCTCCGAGCGTTAACCTATTCAATCGCGATATCGACACACAATAGAAGAACTATAGGTTCGCAAACGCCGGCGTTCGCTTGGGGTTTGATGAATTAAACATGAACAATGCTCTGTTAACAGCCGACCAGAATATGATTTGTTTGTAGCACAGTGAAGAAATACATATATTATGTCGATAATGCCTGAGATTATGGTTGGATAGCTGATTAATCAGTAACAAATAAGTGTATTTTTACAAAACCTTCCATGTACTGTTATATGAACTAAGTAACTTAGTTTTTATCACTTCTTTCTTGACTCGTAATGTTATGTATTGGCGTAAGCTGTGAAATTATACATGTTTTTTGTTGATAAATAAATTGCAATGGGCCAAAGATCTTTGTTCTGTGTTTAAGAAATAAAATGCACAACAAAAAGTTCATATAAAATTTATTTAATATCTAGTCATAATAAACTTAAAACTACATCCTTAGATAAGTCCTGCTAATCTGGATTTAAATTTTTATAATATATTTTAAACATCTTAATTATTATGTTGTACTGAAAATAGAAAATGTTAAAATTAAAGAGATTTATGAATGAGAGAAATGCCAGAAAACATATAGTGGGCTTCCTTTAGATATAAGTAAGCATGTATAAATTAAATTAAATCACATTTATTATTGTTTATATTGTTTCTGTGGCTTTGCAAAATACTTTGCCCAATTTAAAATCTATTCTTTCAGATGTAATAAATCAACTAAGTTCATAATATATTTTTGTTTAACATAATATCTGTGTGAAACAGAGACCCAATTCACAAGAACAACTTTAGTGTGATATAAAGTTATTAGTTATTATGAAACAGAAGAGAAAGGGTTAAAAATTTTCCATTGACAATTTTTATGGGTCATCAGGTTTTTTTTACTCTATGATGCTGATGGTGACAATACTTGTGTCACCCCACTAGTGTCCAAAGACATTCTACTAGATCCGGTGTGAGGTACATCATCTTCATCCAGCAGTTCTCTCATCCTCCTCTTATAAATCTCACTGTCAGGATTGTTCTCTTGATTTCTACACCTATCCAGCTTCTTCTCAATAAGCCTGACCTTCTCCCGAGCAGGACTTTCCACCATTTTCACCAAAGACCTTATCTTCCTCACAGCTTCAATCAATACTGCCAGTTTGTCCTGTCCTGCATCCCTGAACAACATGTCTGTGACATAGCTGTCCAAGTTCTCCTGCTCCTTACTGGCTGCATGGAGCACAGCTGCCAGAGCTATCTGTGATGGAGCATATAATAAACAAGCATCTGTCAAAAATACCTTCTCAAGGAACTCGTCAATACCTCCCCTGAGCCGTTCAGGGTTTGCTAGTGAACATCTAGTTTTTATGTCAATAAGGAACCCCTCAACAGGCCGGAATGGATTGTGTATGGTCAAGTGATAATTCAGTTGCTGCATCAGCAACAATTCATTGTTTAATATAATATCAGACGCTTTGTCTCTGTCGCCTTTGATATTTGCAACAAATTGACCTATTGACACGTTGAACTCTTCCACTTTACACGCCAAATATACACACGTAGCGAGAATTTCTTTCGGGTGATAGTCCATTGTAGAGTTGTAGAGATAAAATCGTTTAAAGTAGTGAAACGCGGTGCCTACAACTCCCTTCGGCATGGGCGGGCTGAAGCGCTTGCAGAACTCTTTCAAATGCAGTTCATATTGTTTTAATAGCAGTCTTTCTTCGTCAGGAGATAAAAAGAAATTGTACCTTTGATATTCATCAATATGATTTCCATGTTTTGCAATATAGTTAAGGTTATGCTTCTCGCGCAAAATTGCTAGTTCACCTTCGTCGCTAAATGTCCAGAACTTCCTTTGGGAGCTCGTTGAAAACATTTTAGTAACTTTACTTTTGCTTGTGCCAAATTAAGTACAAAATAACCACAACAATAACTTCCCAAACGGCCCCGAAGATTTAAGTTTGACATTTAGTTGCTTTTTTGTCAAAACATGTCAATGTAAACTTGCTATATAAAATATTTAGTACTATAAATTAAAAAAATCCACCATAAAAGGAAATTAAAAGGCACAAGAGATGTCTCTGCTTAAAAAAATAGCCATAAAAGATCTGAATAGAATTTTTAAAATTATATAGATATAGTAAATGTACAAACTGGGATTGCATTACATATTATTATATATTTATCTCCTACAAATGGCAACTTTTTATCATCTGATTAAACAATTCATTTTACGCAAAGGTATTATGATTATTTAAAAAAAGGACAATTATGTTTTTTATTTTGAGTAATTTCAAATTTTGTACACATAACTACTATAAATTCTAATCAGCTAGAGTAGCTTAACCGCAATAAAATCTTTACCAAGTTTATGTTGCGGTTACACTGATTAATTCTAAGAAGAAAATGTGTTATAACGGAACGTTGTCGTTCGATTTTATCTCTTTCCCACTTGTTGCGTTTCGCTTTTCTATCTCAGAAATATTTGAGTCATCTTCTAGTAGTGAGTGAGTGCTGCTGATTGTGACAAATTAAAGAAATTGGACTATTTTTATAACAATTATCATTTGAAATAGTTGATAATAAGTGAAATCAAAATGTCTCGACCGGGTGATAGGCCGAACCAAGCCCAAACATACAAACTTGTGGTCGTCGGCGGCGGCGGTGTGGGAAAAAGTGCAATCACAATACAATTTATTCAGGTATTTATCGGCGTATTTGGCCGAGATCCGTCTGCGGAACAGATGTTACACTATCTAAGAGTTTCTATTCTAATTCTGGGAAATCATCGGATTCTTTATTAATCTAAATGATGCGTTCATGATTAAAAATAGTGTTTGTGAGACAGTCTATGTCAAGGTCTGTTTGAAGGCGACACCGCCCACTGGCGTCACCGCATCTGGTGCTGTATTGGTATTGTTTGATCTTCCAGAGCTACTTCGTGACAGACTATGACCCCACCATCGAGGACAGTTACACCAAACAGTGTGTCATCGACGATGTGCCGGCGAAACTGGACAGTGAGTACAACTCTTCATGTTTATGGTGTCCTGGTGTTGAATATTGTGGGTGGTCAAGTAATCTTGTATGGTGCGTCGTAAATATTTGTGAAGGCCTCGCTGTAATACCTTGTGTTCAATGTTATTGGTTAGTCATAGCTACCTGTTGCAGATGAATATTTTTCTCAGAATTGCAATCTAAATTTAAAGGAAACATACTTCATTGCCTGAATTAAACACATTGCACTTGGGGTGCTGTTGTAAATCACCTCTGTTCTAGATATAAATCTTATAAGAAGTTAACAAAATACACATATCACATAGAACTAATGCTGTGCCATGTCTTATATGTATTTTTTTACAAAGGATCATCTCAATTGAATTCTAAAAAACCATTATAATATATGTATGCGTATAGTATATACATTCACATAATGCCTTTCAAGTCTTATAATAATATAGAATAAAGTTGGACCACATTACAGAATAGTTTATTCAAAAACTTAATTATTTTTATCAATTCACATAACAATGCACATGGCAACATCTATATTCAGTCTGTAACATGTAAACATGATGTTTTTACGTAATTATTATCTCTGGTATCAAAAACTTTATCATTAGATAAATTGTCTTTGATAAAACCTTGATATTTTCTTGTTTTCCATCTATTTGTATGAGATGCATTCATGCATAATCTGTACTAGGAATTATACAGGTTTCACCTTGTGCTTGTTACTGAGCTTAAAAAGAACTTCTTGTTTTTACAAACACTTGCTTTTAATATAAGTTTTGATATTCTAAATATAGATTACTAGATATTGTAATTTGTTTATCTCTTAATGGAGAGATCTTTGATGTAGTACAAATAGTAACATTATTTCTAATTTATTATTTATAACAACTAAAACTGGTTTGGCTTAAGTATAGTTTTGCATAAATTCTATAAGTGGTTCTTTTTATAAGCCAAATATATTTTCTATAGATAAATATTTTTCACAAAGTTTGTAACTGATGCCGTAATAGACTCCTTGCTGATTCTGCTACTGAAATCTCTACTGAAACTTCTTTGTGTTAACTACATTTAAAAAATTCTATATAATACAGAGGTGGGTTTCAGTTGATGTTAAAACAGGCCAACAGACTATGAGCCTTTTCAGGCATTACAGAGCCACTCACAGATGTGATTGTGAAAAGTGATTGAAAAAATAACCATGGAGTTTCTTGCTCATCCTTCTCCATAGGAATCTACACTTTGGGACAAGCAAATAGCTTCACTAGAGGACAGACGGACAGACTGACTCATATAATAATGTTAAACCTTATGATATTTTTTGCTTGACATTAAAAGTGCCTGTTGTAGTCTACTTTAAATGAAGAATTAGATTTGATGCAAGTTGCTTTCAAAATAGTATAGTTATTATAGGTAACGTGTCTTTTAAAAATTACCTGCAGCCCAATGAAAAATATGTTAAATAATTAATAAAACTACAACTTTCTTTTATTATGTGTAATCTATCAATTAGTGAATGATTGATAGAAAACATGGCCAGGCTAACATAATTAATCAATATTTAATAATTGTTTATTAGCTGAAGCATATAATTATGTAAGTTAAATAACATTTATATATAGGTGTAGATACTGTTATGTAATTTATAACCAGTTATGTAATTAATTAATTTCCCTATGTAGGCAAGCCTAAATACAAGGTCACTTTTAGTTAATGTTTGTGAATGCCACCTAAAAACAACCTTTCATGGTGTTAATGAAAGTTTTGAAGCCATCTATTAAAATATCATGCTTATTACTACCAGAATAGATAGATAGAGGAGCAATTTCTTAATGTATTGTTTACCTATCCCATTTGTGTAGGTACTTCTTTGATGAAGATCAACACACCCAAAATGCAGTCTTCTGACTATGTAGCACCTTTTATAAGTTACTATTCCCATCCTACTATCCTACTTATATTATAAATGTGAAAGTTCAGGGTTGATCTCTGTAGGACCCTGTCTGGTGTTCTATTGACTTTTTGAGGCGCGCGCGGAACGCTATGCGCCCTTCGCTCGGGTCTGGTTCTGGTCGAGTGGCGTGCTGCTCTTACTCGCCGTCCGTAGACACGTGCTTAAGATGGCCGGAGATCATCGCTCGGAATGTCGCCTACTGCGGCTCCTGGGGCGTGAGGAGGATAGTTCCCTCACGCAATTATTCATTTCCCTGGAGCACTTTACTGTTTCTTTCTGGACTTTAGTGTTTCAGTGTTTTCAAAGTTATATCTAATGTAGATTCTGGCTTAACTTACAGTGGTTTTGAAAGGTAGTGTTGGGTAACTGCCAATAAAAAAAAAACGTTCATGTCAATTTCATATCCTTTTTTCTCCACAGTTCTCGACACAGCTGGTCAAGAGGAGTTCAGTGCGATGAGGGAACAGTACATGAGGTCTGGTGAGGGCTTCCTCCTAGTCTTCTCAGTAGCTGACCACGCCAGCTTCGATGAGCTCTACAAATTCCACAAGCAAATCCTCCGTGTCAAAGATCGAGATGAGTTCCCCATGCTTCTTGTTGGAAACAAAGCTGACTTGGAACACCAGAGAGTTGTGAGTAGAAGTTTATTAAATTATGTTTTTAATCCATACTATAATATACATATTATAAAGCTGAAGAGTTTGTTTGTTTGCTTGAACGCGTTTATCTCAGGAACTACTGGTTCGAAGTGAAAAAATCTTTTTGTGTTTAATAGACCGTTTATTGAGGAAGGCTTTAGGCTAAAAAAACATTACCCTACGATCTGTAAGAGTCGAGCAGCGGGTGAAACCGCGCGGGAGTAGCTAGTCTCCTATAAATTATTAACATTTCTCGCACACTTTGAAATCATCTTTCGGAAACTGTATTTCCGACCGTTACGACCTTCAAACCTTCAAGAAACATGCGTATTCCTTTTTAAAAGGCCGGCAACGCGTGTGGTTCCTTTGGTATCTCAGGAGTTGATTATGGGCGGCACAGATCACTTACCCGTCTGCTCGTTTTCTGTCCCATAAGAAATTTCTTGTCTTTGATGTGAACAGATTTTAATCGTTGCCCTGCGTTAGCATTTTCTTCTGTGTTGTGGGTAAATACAATTTCGAATACAGATCAGACTAAGAGCCGTAACAACAATTTGTGAAAGTCACAAAAGTCCCTTTTTTAGTTTAAGAAACCATTTTAATTTTGTCTGGATTTATTCTAAAACATGTCAACATTAATTAAATCTACAAACATTAATTAATTAAATCTACAATTCAAATTGTTGCAAAATAAACTTTACGTCCTTATTTGCAAGGTTGACATTGAATAAATACTAGGATTTTAGTCATAGGAAACAATAAATAATAAACCACAATGTTGGGTTTTATGAATGACGATTGTTGTTGTGTTTGTGTACGCCTTATATAGCGAACGTAGTAAACAACGTTATCTCGGACGTAAACCCATTCATAAAAATAACCTTTATTCAATTATGGAAAACTTAGAAACGGTCAGAGTTACCACAGATTATAAATATTAAAGTTGTACAAAAGACAAAAAGGGGGTATGAACAGACTATTCAATAAATCTACTTTTAGAGGAGGGGCATATGCGTTGCAGTCTTTTTTTTAACTGTAGGGGACTTGGGGGTTGGATATATTGTGTTTTTTTATGTGGTAGGTCGGCAAACGAGCAAGTGGATTACCACAGTAAGCAATTAGTGCGTTCCAATCTTTTGGAGATTAGGGTTTTAAAGGTTTGGGAATTGGGAAGGATTGGGCCTCCGGTAACCTCATTCACACGGCGAAACAACGCTGTGGTTGTTTCACGCAGGTGTTGGTGGTGGACTTCAGTCGAGCTGATTGTGCTTAAGCATGGCTCTGCCACAAAAAAAAAAACTTCTACTGAAATTACCTCCTTTGTTAGGGGAAAATCATTAAATGACGTCTCCCGCCCAGGGTCGGGCGGGAGGGAGTCTCAGACTCTTACTGACTAAAAACACCCCCATTCCTTCTCCTGCTCTGGGCCGAGGCCGCGATGACTCATTGCGCCTAACCCGCAACCCCGGCTGAACATCAGCCCTATAGGGACCCGTATGTTGCGCCGTCCGTTCGAGTATGGTTCTGGTCGAGCGGCGAGCTATTCTAACTCGCCGTCCGCAGACTGGCGCTTACGGTGGCCGAAGAACGTCTCTCGTCTAAGGTCTTGTTAGTGGTGCATAGGATTGGATTTCCTATTTGGACCACTTTTGTTCAAACTCTTTACTTGATTATATTATTATCAACATCGGGTTGTAACAAATGAATCTCTGTGTAGGTAAATGAATCTCTGTTTTTACGTCTGCCATGTATAGTTATATTATAAATACATATCACGAGGAAAATTTATATCAAACCGCAAAACAATAAATTAATAACATAATCTATTTTTGATAAATTGCAAATTTCTAATGTTTACTATAAAATTGTTGTATATTACGTTAACTATAATTAAACGATGTACTTACTTTTTTAAACAGGTGTCACTGGAAGAAGCACAAGCCTTGTCGCGTCAACTCAAAGTCCCATACATTGAGTGCAGTGCTAAAGCGCGCATGAATGTCGACCAAGCGTTCCACGAGCTCGTCAGATTAGTGCGCCGCTTCCAGGAGGCTGAGCGTATCAACATCAAGTCAGACTACGGAAGCGGCAAAAAGAAAAAATGCACCATTCTGTAACACTAATTATATCTATGGTGAGATTTGTTCTAAACGTTCTACATTCGAAGTTCGCGCCGTTCCGATGACAGATGTTTTTTTTTTTCGTTTTTTTTTTACAAAGATGTTGATTATTTATTTTTTTATTCTAGAGATGTACTGACTATCTATGGAGTGTTAGTCGATTACCAAACAATCCACTTTTTGGAATAGCTTTAATTTAGAAATGTGATTTAGCTCCCTCGTAAGCTAAAGAAGTCAATGAATGAATAGATAGTTTGTACATTTTTGATGAAATTATTCGGGTTGTAATATAATTTATATTTAAAATATTTATACAATACATCTCCATGTTTATCTACTTCATTAGTTTTAAAGTGAATATACCGTCTTCTTATTTTTTATATTTATTACTTTTTTTAGCTTTTAAGCATAATTTGCTTTCTTCTTGATGAAAAGCACATTCAAATGCAAATTGCCTGTTTATTTTTATAGAACTTGATTAAGAATAAGTGTGATACACTTCTGTTTACGATATTTATGGTAGTGTTGATTTTTTAGCTTGAACTAATGCTAGACTGTGGCTGGAATTAGGTACAAAAATTGAATATTTAAACAGGGACATTGTTTATACACAGATATGCAATAATAAACATTAGGGTTATTAATTTTTAGTCAAACAGCAAGTGTTAGGATAAAAATAATTGTATTCAATGTTCATAGCTTTAAAGATATTTTTAGAGGCGAATTTTTAATGAAAATCTTTAATAAATAGTTGAAATTTCAACATTATCATAAATACAGGTAAGAAGTAACATTAGCACTTGTAAGAATGATTTTCCATCATTTTGGTACTAACAATCTCAGTGCCATACTTGAGGTATCTTGTGTCAAAAATATTAGGAAAAAAATTGGCCCCATTGGTAGCTAATATTAAATTTGACATACATAAACACAATTTCAATCTATACTAGACCATCATACAGTGTATATAAAGCACATTTTACTAGTAAAACGGTGCTTTTAAAACTAGCTTTGTTCTTAGTCGTTGTTTAGCACAATAATTTCGTGGGATATAATCCCTTGTTGTTTTTTTTTTTTCATTTTCTTTTAAGTCGGCGCCATAACTATGTTTTGATAAGTCTGTCGATGTTTTGTTGAAAAATTCATATTTATTCTTTAAGTTTTTGGACGCATCTTGCTTTTGATTATAGAAATAATATTTTTTTAATGTATCTTCTTTAGTCGATTACCATTCGTTCAATGCGATATTTTTTTTTAAAGTCGGTGTAATTACAGCGGTTTTTTTTGTTTTGTTTACTTGTATTTTCAGTTCAAGCTTTACTGCGTCCATTTTTTTTTATTTATAATATCCAAAATGATAAATGAGTAACTCAAATAAAATGGCATTAAAAATAAAATTGACTACTAAATAACACTTTCTTAATAAAAAAAGTTGCGTAAAATAATTATAATATAGAATATAATAACTGTACGTATCGTATTTATGTAATGTTATGGACGCCTAGAAACCAAATACTAATGTGTATAAATATTTTTGTTACTTTATTTTGTCGTTCAATAATTAATTTTAGGTTAGCGTTAGTTGTTCGAATTTAATGTGTCATTTAAATGAAAAATAACATATTTTAGCATTACGCCTTTTTCCTACGAATAGGAAGGCAAAAAAGGAACTATATTGAGTATTCTCACGTATATATTAACCTGATAAGTTTTGCTATTTAAACTATAAAATGATGGACCTAAATATCTAAGAAATAAGTCTTTCTAAATTGACCGATTGCCGTTTCGGGTAATTATAACGTTATTAATTTTATTTAAATGATACATTCAATTTATTACAAGCAGTTTGGAAGTGTATATCATGAGCTCTCTGGTTAGCGGTAATTGCTGTCTCTATGGTTTATAGTGCAGTCATCATAGTTAAGAGTGTGCCAGAGACAATATAAGATCTAACCGCCATCTTTACATAAGGCGAATGTGATTTTTTTCTTTTGAAAATATTAAATGTAGTGCAAGTATTGCCAGTCTTACCCCTAACCAGAAAGCTACCATTTTGTAAGTTAATTTTAAAAAGAGATATATATTTTTATATCGTAGTATTGGTTTTTACACATTTTTTGCTAAGCATGTATATTTGTTGGTGCACAACTGATTTTGATATACATATTTACAATGATTTTATATCAAGTAAGCTTATAAAGTATCAGTAGATGTTTTACAATCATTCTTTTAACAGCTTTGTTAAGGAAAATTACTGGGTAGTATTTTCCCGTGATTTCGCCTGTCTTTTTTAGGAATGGTTACACATGTCAACGTGTAATTATAATTTTATATTTTCAACCTTTATTTATTTAATAGCAACTGCTTTAATTATTGTACAGTCAGTAACAGTATTCTGTTGTGTTGTGAACTCATATGGTATGTTATTATTTATACTTCGCGAATACCTACTTTAATGTACCACTAATTCAGTTTCTAATAAACTTCAGTGCAATGTTTTCAAAAATTGAATTATTTAGGTTTGGTGGTAGGATTTGTTCATGAACTGGCAACACTGAACGAAAAACTTGAATTTGGAATTCGATTTCTGAATTGTAAGTTTTAATGTGTTGCCATACCAGACCAAAAAGCAATGATGTATATAAATTTATATATATGGTTTTGGAGTTAAAGTAACTTGCTTGGTATATGAAATAGATGATCCCTAAATGGCCTCCAAGGGTATTTGGGCCTACCAATTACCATGTAGTTTCCCATGTATGGTGACACAGTGGCGGTGCAATATGTAAGAAGAGCTTTAACTTGTGGCGGTCTCTCGCCGTAACCTACTAAAATGAGAACTGTTGTCCAGCTAATTATTGTATTTGTAAAATAAATCATTGTAACATACTCCATTTTTTATTTTATCCTTTCAATCGTGGTCGAGACTCTATAAAAGAACAATAGGCACGAAAGCCGGCGTTCGTTTGGGTTTGACTGATTAATCATTTTTTCTGTATGTATATCTATACAGATATACATTTCGTTTCTTAGATTTGACTGCACGTTTGAGACCAAGGCTAAGCAGCTAGCTACGCAGCACACGGATCTACTCTATGTAATATATAAATTATTAATATTGTTTCGAGTCTCGGTGCGACGTAAGTTTGAAGTGTGTTTATTGAAGAAAATACCAAATACGGAGCAAAGCTTAAATAGATGATAGAGTTGTCATCAGTAGAGAGAGGGAGAGGAAAACGTTAGGCGAAGTTGTCTGTATTTTATATTGATAGGAAAATTTTACGTCCATTCGTCTAGCTCAATACTCGTAGATGAGGCACCCCTGAGGCAGTACTTGACTAAGGGGCCTGCTATTTTATATGGCGCAGTTTCGGCCCCATATGGAATACTATGCCCATCTCTGGGGGGAGATACCCCAGTACTGGTACTGGGGTCTTCCGCCCAAGTTTAGAGAGAGAAGCTGGCTTCTTCCTCTAAACCCGCATTAGTGATGAGACGTTCGAATCGTGAAGTGCTCTGTTGTTCCAGACTTTTTAGAACTACTTATAGAGGTAGACTCGCTATGTGTTCTCTATCGCCTATAGCAAGGGGAGAGGTCCACTCTATGAAAAGGTTTGCTTTGCTCCATCATGTATTTTAGCCACCGAAACACACGAAAACAGTTTCATCTACATTATAGAAATGGTCGGCAGTCAACAAACAAATATAGTTTCTCCTTGATAGGAACACCGCAATGATCTTTCGGCGGCGGTATTTCCGAACCGATACGGTGTAATTCTACTGCGGACGTTACGCTTTTACGTAAAATAAAAGCCAAGAACCTAACTCGAACGATGATTTATTACTTTAATCACATATTATATTACATATATAAATAAACTACGCGTGTTCACTTCCTAGCGGCCAGCGCGGCGAGGTCGGCGATGCAACGGTCCAGGGTCTGCTTCTCCTGGTCGGGGGTGATGGCCTTGTTCACGTTGGATACTATCCAGTCCACCATCTGCCTCTGGGCGAGACGGCGTTCCAGATTGGACTTCTCGAGCTGGTAGTCCAAACGGCGTTTCACCTGAAATTTGTAAAAAGGGATAAATGGGTGCATTTTATGAAAATAATTATTGTATAAAGTTCTTAAGTTGACTCAGACTAGTTTACGGAAGATAAGTGAACAATTAATTTATATTAGCAACCCAAAAGGAGGTAGACGATAAATGAAAATGAAAAACAAAGAAAAGCATGGTAGGTACTTTTCTGCATAAAACAAGTTACCTACAAAAGACTAGACCTAGGGAAACAGCATGCAATACACTGACATCTGTTTGTATTAAGTACATAAAATTTTGACATTTATTATGTTAAACTTGTAAAAAAGGTATATATATAGCATACACATTTATACACATACATATTTATTCAATTCAACAGCAGTAACACATATTCAATAGTCAATTTCTTTATTGCTTTCCAAAATGCATTATGTATTTTTACATTAGCTCACTGAGTGTAATAAGATTACAATTTTGGACCACCTTGAGCATGACAGAATAATTAACTCACCTCGGTGTAAGCGTTCATGAGGCGTTCTCTGTAGGCAGCCTCAAGCTGCAGCAGCACATTCTCCTTCTTGGCTTGGATGAGGAGCTCCTGTCCCTGTGCACGCCACTGAGCTTTCTTCTCAGCTTCTACGGCATCCTCCAGAGCTTTGATGGACTCCACACGGCTGGAGTTCCAGTCATTTTCAATAGCCTGGAATAGGTTTTAAATTATTCATAAATATTTGGATAAAGTTGTAAAATATTCATTGAATATATTAGTTCTATATTTAGTAATCTTAATGTAGTTAGTGTATTTTAACCTATTTTAACCTGGCTACTTCAAATGTCCATCAAATATGTGTTAAACAAACAAACCAAAAATTCTTCAATCACTATAAAAACCCGGATCAAAATATGTTTCGTAGTTTTAAAGGTTCAAGCAGATATAGGGATAAGATATATGGGAACGCAACTTTGTTTTACAATGTTGTGAGAAACTTTACATATGTACCAAAAAGAATTGCATACCAGCCGACTAATTGGAATCGTATTGGAAATGAAATATTTGAAATCATCATCATCAAAACTGTACATCAAATACACACAAATAATTTTAACTTTCTCAAATATAAAACAAAAAAGTGTTCATAAACAAGAAAAACGGAACACATCTCAAATGAAACTCACATCAACTTCCTTGTCCAACCAAGCGGCAAGGCTAGGTCCGAATTTCTTAGCAGCAACGGCAACCATCAAAAGCAGTGACAATCCAGTGTAGTACTCATGTTCCATGACATAGATCTCCTTGCTGAACAGGTATGTGGTCAGACCAACACCAAAGGTGTATGGACCAGTGACACCAGTCTTTGAGTGGAAGAACTGGAACCTGGAATGAGAAGGTTTCTTTTATTAATATGGCGAACTACATGTTAGGGTACTCACCGTCATTATATAATTTTTTACAAATAATCCTTTCTTTAAACAGCAAATGATGATTACTCTAGATTATTACATGTATGTAAATTAAAAACTATAAAGTTTTGGGTATTTTTGTTCTGATAAAAAAAACTAATCAAAAGATGGAAAAGTGTGAGCATTAAAATGAAATCTACTCCTGACTGACCTTTTCTAAGATCTAAGAAAATTAGTGTTGGATAGCAAAAGCAACATTAAGACTCACCATTCTTCAGGAATGAATCCAAGTCTGACTTTGCCAGGCTCTACGGCTCTGACTGGCCTGGGGAA